GTCTTTCTGTCCTGATTAAAGAATTACTTCAGATGAAGCCTTCACCTCAAGCACCAATCTTTATGGTTCTAGAATCATTCCTTACTTCTCTGCTAAATTCACATTTGTTAAATTCTGAACAATTAATGGAGTAAACAATAATTTATTACAATCTTAAAAAAAAAAAAAAGTTGAAGTTGGATTTCTATAGTAAACTTCCAGGACAGTTCAAATCAGCTAGGATCTATGTCTTTTTTACCTTTCCCCATCACCTGCACTGTTAAAACTTTACTTAAACCTTCTGCTACTCAAGGTCTGTCTTTTTAACACTTGCACAGATAGGAAGCAAATCTTTTTGATGTCAGCCATTATAATGATGAAATAAACCAGAGTTTAAGTGCTCCTTCTATTTTTCATTTTGCTCACTGTTATCCAAAATCCAGGCATTATACTGGACTTTCTGGTAATTTGTGAGATGTAATCCCATTTGCAATGTGTAGGGCTAAAAGCAGTGGTTGGTGGCCCTGATCGTGCCAGCGTTATGCTTCTGACCTTTCCCTGATACCAGAGGATACAGAGAAGGCAGTTCTGGTACTCCTGAGAATTCTTATATCATCTTGGCACCTGTGTACCTGCAAGTCATGACTATAATTGAGAAACTGAATTTATGTGGGGCAAGTTTTCAGCTCCTGGAAACAAGTAAAGTGAAGGTAATCTACACTTCTTTTTTTTTGTTTTGTTTTTTCTTTTTTTTAAATCCTGTAAGGTAAAAGTCTTTTCTTCTGGCTTCACTAAAAAGGTTAATGCATTGAGATTGCAATACTTGTGCAGTCTTGCCCTTTTCCCTTTGGTCTGAATCAAGGCATCCTTACATGCAAGTCCTGTTTCCCCACATGGATATAGCTGCTTGCTTACAAATCCTAAGGATTTGCAGTAAGTCTGTGAAGCTACCTGGGGATACAGGCATCTTGAGACATTAGGCCACCCCTATGTTAATGACATATATATCCCTAGATCTCCTTTTTTAATCTGCCCCAGATGGTGCCAGTGTCCTGGTTTTCTCAGTGCCCGATCAACAAAAGGACTTGGGTCAGACCTTGATGACTAGCTGAGATTTAATTTAAATAGGGCAGAGGTGATAGTTACTGCTGGGGAAAGCAGCCTAAAACCATGGTAGAGATTATGTCTTTTCCTATTAATGAGAGAGAGTATCCTCACATGAGTAATTTCACAATTCAGAGATCAGCATTGTGTCTCCTTTGTTTCCAGTTTTAATTTATCATTGGAGTTGTGACAGTTTTATCCTGTGGTGGACTTCAAAACCTTATCTTGGCCTCTGGTTCCTCAGACTGCATCCCTGGAATATGGTTTGTGACTTGACTTGCACATGAAATAATTTTAAAATATGCAAAAATCTGATTGCTTTTCACAGTAAACTGGTTTTCTGCTCATAGCTGGTATTTTTAAGATCTTAGGCAGATATTTGTGTAAATGAAAGACATTTTTCTTCAGTGAAATTGCTGAAAGTTTTGATTTTTATTAAAATAAAAAGGTGGTGGTTCTACTTCTGTATGCAGATTTTTGGCAGTGTTACTAGAAATTTTTGGATCAGTAGACTTGATTGGGGTCTATGAACACTTAATGGTACAGAAGACAACACAACCAATAAAAAAACCTCTGATGCAGGTTTCTCTTGTAGCAGCAAGGGTGGAGGGAATTGTCTTCTGGCCCCTTGTAAGTACACTTGCAGCCTCGACTAATTTAAGCACAGGACTTGTGCCTAAGTTTCACATACTCAAAAAAGCCATGCTCTAAGACCAAGTGCCCCACTTTTCCATTCTATTCAATGAGGAGAGGTAAGTGCCTTTGACGAGTTCAAGGAGATCTATTTGCCTATCTCGGAAGTCTAAGGTCTAGTAAATTGCCCTCTGGGAGGCCTTCAAAGGCACCTAACTCTGTCTTGACACAAAAATTTTGAGACATCTCAGTAGGATGAGGGCAGCTTGGGCAGAGTTGTTTTTCATTTAGAACTTGTCCTTTAAGGATGGTAGGGGTCTCTATCTAATGCTAATGGCACAACTTAGAGTTATCCTGGAGCTGTTCCTCCAAGTACTTTAGGGATTGGTTGACGTCAAAGCTCATGGAACAAAAATTGGCTTCCAGATACTTCATGCCTATGATGTGGTGCATGGAGCTCTGGCTCAAAAGAGGAATCTGCCTGTGGAGATTTAAAAACAGCCCTTTTGTTATGACTCCTTGCTATAAACTTTGTCATCTTGCCTTGAGGTTGTACAAATCAACTGCAGTCAAGGGACAGCTAAACTAGGTCAGGAGATGAAGGTGAGGAGATGAAGAATTGCAGCACCGGTAGCTCCATCAGTTGGTTTACCATCTTTCTCATTTAAGCCAACATGTGTGACAGTCTGCATTTGGACATACATCCTTTCTTTTGAATGTCTAATAAGCACCCACTCCATTCTGGAGCTATCACAAGAAAAAATATGTGGCACCTCATAAACAAAACCAAGAAGAGAAAAGAAGAACAATGCCAATAACTGGTTGATTTGTTTGGGGCTTTTTTGGTGGTTTATCTCTGTTATAGAGCTTATAATTTTGAGATTTATCTCTGTTACAGAGATCAGAGGGGTTCAGGTGCAGTTGGAGGCTGGAGAAATAAGACAACTCTTATAGATGTCTCTAACTAGGAATTAATCCTGAATCATACTCACTGGAGGGATCAGCTGTGTTTACATAAGAAACCACTGTGTGGAATGCTCTAAATATAGGAAACACTTGCCTTAAAGAGCTTACTGTCCATAAAAGAAAGAATAAGGGCCAGAGAGAAGCTTTGGAAATGAGACATTTTGAAATGCCGAGTCACCACAACTTTATTCAGTACTGAAGATGGTTTTTGCTCTCCCACTTGCCTGTTCTCCTTCAGCAGGGATGTGCAAGCTACCTCAGGCAGTTCTGAAAGTCTAAACTTCCATTCTGCTCCTTCACAGGAGGAGCTGTGGTAGGAACCAGGCAAGTAGACTATGAAAAAATACAGAGCCACTATTATGGAAGAATGTTTTGCACAGTGTAAAACCAGCCCAACTGACAGTCCAGAGCTAAGAGTGAAATCTGCAGTAAAACAGCTGGCAGTGCAGATTAGTCATTATGTCCCCGGGTTCCCAAAAAATGCAGAATGTGGAGCTATGAGCCACTGCCAGCCATGCCCAGCTGCAATCTGGGAGGCAAAAATCAGCAGCCTTCAGCTACACAAACAAGGTCTAAAGGGGCTAATCTGATGACTAACAGCAACTCAGCAATCATCTGCAGCAAAGTTAGCCTCAGGAAAGACAAGGCAGTGAGGCATCTGAACGGGAGCTGGCTCAACACAATTCCTACAAGGATGTGAAGGTGCCAAAACCCCAAGTTTGCTTAATTCATGTAAGTGAGGCCTGCTAAAATTCTTTTTCTTCACACATTTACTTGTGGGAGGCCAAATCAGCCCGCAAGGGGAATGGAGCAGTATTTTCTTTTCCTATTCAATTAATCCTTTTTTGCTGAGTCCTGCTACTGAAGACAGTTATCTGTATGTCTTCAAGCAAAATGGGGATTTAAACATCAAAGTGCTAATTTAAATTCTGGAGCACAATCAGTATGGACAATCAACAAACCTGCCAGCAATTGTGCTGGTTTCTCCTTTGCTCCAGGCCTGATCCTGTGCACTCAGACGCCCACAGCCACTGCTGGAGCCCCTTGGAGCTCTACCCAGGATGAAGCTCAGTGTAGCACAATCGGTCCATTGAAAAAAGGCATGAACCTAAACTCCCGTTCAGCCTTTTGACCAGGCCGGTCACCTGGTGTTTAGCTCAAATTAGTTTAAAACTTGAAATCTTTGGGGCCCTGTTTGGCTTCTGCAAAGTTTCTTGTCTGGCTGACAGAACAGTCAGTCCTTGTTTTTCTCGTGGAAACTGCTGTTGTGGCCGGGAGCCTGGGGAGAAAGAAATGCTGTGAGGCTGTGCAGGCAGGGCAGCAATGTCAGCTCACACCTCTGCAGGTCACACCATGAAATCGAGCACATCCTTCATCCAGGGCTTCTCATGCCCAGGGTCACTTTTTAAGCCAAGCCAGAAAATGTTTTGTGGTTTTTGTCTTTTAGGGCCACAAGTGATGGATGTTAACAGTTTAATATTAAAAGTACCTCAATTATCACAAGCCTGAGAATGGAGAGCTCCCAAATAATATAAAAATAGTGACTTTTGGCTTCTGCTCCCCACTGGGGAGGTGAAAACACACATGTCTCTGCTGAAGAGCACTCTCTGAGTCCTCTGCTGGTGCAAAATTTTCAGATGCATTCAAACTTCTCTTCTGGTTCTGAACGGATCCTGATTTCTGTATGTTCTTTCCTGATAAGTACTTGGGAAATAATCTGTGTAACCATATTCAGCCTTCAAGTCGTCCCACAGCACTTGCTTTTGGCTGAAGTGGCAGGTTTTTAACATCTGTCTCTTACTGTCTGACTATATGAGGAAAGCTTCTTAGCCAAGAGAGTAGAAAATTAACATTGAATTGCCAATGCCATAAATAAATCAGTACTTACTCCACTCTGTAAATCTGTTCACATTTAAGCACGGGCGTCTGTACATAAAAAAAATAATTCCATAGACAGTAACAAATAAAAGGCAATCCATGGGTATATTCATGGGTGCTGAAGAATGAGGTGTAGGCATGTTTGAACTGAGTGGCTGCTGCAGATTCAAATCCACACTTGTGGACACTGTCCTGGTAGCAGTCAGCTGTCCCCAGGGGAGGACTGTAGCTCGGGAAGGACAGTTAAAACATGCCGAGATCTAAGCTGACAAGGTGCTATACAACTCACTGTCCAATTGCTAAGGGACTTTTCTTGAACTTAAACTTACTTTGCCATTGAAGTTACATTTCCTAGCAAAACTATCTGTTGCTAAGATATTTCTGCTAAACACTCTGTATTTCTCACCTTTCTCAGATGTGCTGCATGCAAGAACACTTACCTCTATGAGCATGTACAAGGAGAGCAGTGTAATCCCAAGGTTATATACAATGAGGTGAGCCCTGAGAGAGAAAGGAGGCCTGTCCTTCATGAACTTGTTGCCCAGCCATATGCAGAGGAGGTATGCTCCGGTAAGGAAAAATGTGGGAAGGTAAGAGTCCAGAAGGAACCATCCTCTAACCCTGGCATCTGGAAAGAAACACAAGCAGCAGGCAATTAAGGAAGCAATGGCAAAATATTGCTAAAATAGGGCAGATCACATCATGGAAAAATTCTGCTGGAAGTGTGAGAGAGAATCTGCCGTGCTTTGCTTGCAAGAGTGATCCATTGCTTTTACCTCCCCAAAACTGCACACTAATTCAGAGAATGTGTGCTGAAAACTAAATGAAATTCCCTAGTAATTTAAGGTCACTTAAATCTCATTTTAACAGGAAAGAGAAAATGAAAAGAAGAAAACATTCCTATATGTTTTTTAATATTTAATTTAATGTTTTAACTTAATATTTAATTAAATTGTATCTTAATCAGCTCAACGCACAGTTTGCAGAGAGTATTAAATACAAAGTATGCATGCAAAGTTGCCAGTTCATATATTATTTTAATTATGTATTTGCTATATGAGTATGAAGGAATATAACATTTGTTAGAAAACATTTATACAAGGGGAGGATTTTTCGAAAAACATTAAATATGAAAAATAAATGTCAAATGTTTATTTTGATGGTTATCAAAGGTATTTGGCAAGGCAAGGGCTTGCTTTCTCATAGTTTGTCCCATTTCTATGGTACTGAAATTAAATATCAAGGTCAAATCCTGCTTGCCTTATTCACACAAGAAATCCCATTGGCAGTAATCAGATAGTTCAATGTATATGACCAAAGCCTAATCCTATATGCCAGTCTGGAAGCACCACTTCACTGTCCTATGAGCAATAGGATGTCACAAGGGAAAGGAGTGTGGTGGGGTTTTTTTCAAGATGGAGCAAAACTTAATTTTCCACAGTAACAGTCTTCAGACATTTATCTAAGAAAAGAACAATGGGAATCATGGTTAGTTTTTCAGAAAGGTTGTTCTAAATCTGTCACAGTTTATGGAGTAAGTGAAGAAATAAGTCAATAAGAATCTATTGGGCAGGTCACAGTTGTTCTTTCTGATGTTAGAAACTGGTTTAAATTGCTTAGTTTATTTTTTACAAAAAACAAAATTTTGTTAAAAATTGTAAAATAATTAAAAAAAAAAATGAAGATTTTCACAGTGCATGAAAAAACATTTTACTATTTTTCCACCTGCGTTGAATTTGGAAAGGTCTGAGTAATGGATGATGCACAAACCAAATGTGCCAAAGCATTAACAAACTGTCGCCAATTGTGATTTTGCTGTACTGTATTCTTTCCAACTGTTCTTTCCTCAGAAATATTTGCATACGGGTATACGTAAGGTGAGGTTTTAAGTGAGTTAGAAAAATCTACTTATGAACAGGGCTACAAACATCAGCTTGCTTTCTCATTGCAGTCTCCTTCTACTTCCCACCTTTCTTCCATTGCAGTGGCTGTAACATTGATCTGTCAAATCTGGGCTCTGCGTGGGACGTTAGCTCTTTTGCAGAAAAGACTTTCAACCACACCTAAGTTACTGTGGAAGTCCAGTGCTTTCCTGGTTCTGATTCTCCCTTCTTGAGTCTCAAAAACCTCTAGGAGAGGAGAAGTGTAGGACTGAAGCGGTCATGACAGCAGAACCATCTCTAACAAAGCACCATCCTTCTTTTAGAGTAGCCTTGCTTTGCTGTGCATTACCAAGATAAAATGCCTGTTTTCTGTCTTCAGATCTCAAAGTCTATTTAAGATCATCTCAGTGTGAGAGTAAAACGCTTCCAACAGCCCTCTTAAAGTTCACAAGCCGTGTGTGAAGCTCTGGAATGGATGTTTTTGAAGGGATTCTGATCCCATGTGGTCTCCAAACAGGTTCTCCTCCTCTGAGGGCTCTAAAGAGGACACGAGTCATAAGGCAGGTAAAGGTTGTATGTGTAAGTGTTGGTCTAGTGTATGTTTTAGGAGCATAAGGATTTAATGTATTTAATTGGTATCCTAAATGAAGATGTAGAAAGCAGTCATGTCAGCAAGGCTCATATCTAAAGAAGGATCTCCCCTCCGAGGATTGCAACACTTGGTGCATAAAGGTTATTTGCACAAAGGCCAACTGGCATCAGTAGATAATGAAACAGCATGTTTGCTCAAAGAGGAGAAGTAATTGGAAGAGATGAGAATACAAATTAAACTAAACAGCACTAAGCACTGCCCCAGTACGCCCTTGGGAAGTTTTCACTCTGCTGTGAGTGGCCACAAGCGCATGGGCTGATCCATACAAAAGCAGAACTTGTGTGCTTGTTCAGGTCAGCATGTTGAGTACTTTTAAGATCTATGCTATTTCCCTTTCAAGAGAAATTATTACAATGTGTACCCTTACTGATTATTTTCCACCTCAACCTTGGTACCTTGAAGGGTAAGACAGTTAATTGGCAGAAAGCAATTTATAAGCGGCAGCCAAGGAATGTGACTATTTTGTTTCCACTTACACTTATCCCTGAATGACAAGAAAAGGGAGGGTTTTATGTCGCAGGAAGAGAGAGGAAAGAGGGTGTATGTCAAAAAAAGTTATTGGAAGAAGGAGAGATCAAAAGCATTTTTGTTGATTGATGGTTTGATCTCCATGTTCAAGTAATATGAAGGTACGCTGTCACTAGGAGAAGGGATTATTTTTACAATGTTGAACCCACACAGCATCTGCATTTGAGACCCAGGCACAGAATAAAGCCACAGTGTGAAAACGCTGGGCTACAGCAGGGGAAGGAGCAGGCGCCCACAAGCTCTGATCGCTCCATGAATAAGCTCATTCACAGTCACCGGCCATGATATGCCAGACCCTGGGGGCGAAATCTTGGCTCCTTTGAAATGAGTGACAGGCCTCCCAGGCTCTTTAAAGGTATCAGGCTTTTATCAGTGAGGTTTAGAAACATTTTGATTCAGGTTTCCATACAGCTTTGGCTAGCTGGTGTCTGAGTAGATTCAGACCTTTTTAGGTGCAAGGGGTAGATGTATTTACACCAGTGCCTTGCTACTCTTCATATTCAATTGAGGAGTGCTTATTACTTTATCATAACTTTATTAAAATATATCTATTCTAGACCACCTCTGTTTCTTTCACAGATAAAACAAGCAATCAATTAAATACATTTTTTTTTCCTGCAGTTCAGTGTTCCTTAATTTTGTGTAATACCAAACAACACTCTACAGGTGAAGGTGATCCTGGGAAAATGCTCTCTTACAAAATAATATAGCTATTTCACTGTTTCTCATTTTGCCTTGAGCCTAGATAATCTCCTGTCCAGAAAAATATGCACCAACACTAAATCGTAAGACCACTTCTTATTAAGAGATGCAACTAATGGAATGTATATGGCTTCTATTCCCTGCTTCAGAGGACTTGGTCTGCTAGTTCAAAAGCAAACACTGAGGTAAATTTGTGTACAAAGTCCAGCTGGTACCAGTGAACAAAGGCACAAAATATGCCTACATATAAATCAGATTCAGATCTCTGATAGTATGCCCCTTAATTCTAGTAGTGCAGTACTGCAGCTTGTGTTAACCTGGTACAACCAACATGAGCAGAGATTGCCTCCAGGAACTAGCGTGTGGCTTTCTGCCTCTTCTTGTGCCCTCGGCCACATCTGGCAATGATGACTAAAACCAGTAGAGTGATACCGGTGTTTCAGGAGTTACTACCTAAAACATAAACCATAAATATAGGATTGATTTAAAAATCAATAAATAGAATAAATAGAATAAAGCACTGTTATCTGTCCTTTTAAGCCATCTTGATGCTGAATAAAATGTGCACTGTGGATGAAAATTGGTGGAAAGAAGCGGAATGGTTTGTTGGTTTTGGACATTTGGGTAAGCTCTCAAGAATGTATTGGACTTTCATTTGTGGGGTCATTCTATCCAATTTAAAACTGTTTGCAGTTTATTGCAAATTATTTATGTGTATAAACACATTGGAGGGAACTATGTTATTCGCGAAATGTATGATACTGTGTTAAATTCAAGATCATAGTGAAGAGGCACGGACAAGAAAATGTTATCTTCAGCGTTAATGTCTGGAAAAGGATGGTGATGTACTTGGCAAGGAATACAAATAATACTTGTTTAACTAAAGGGCTTTCTAAAAGCCCAAAGGGATCTGTGTGGTATTCTGCATTTGATTAACTACAGTTCATTCCTTTAAACAATTTGTTCTGGACCAATGAGGAAAAAGGAATGGAGGAGAACATCATGTCCACTTGGAAAAAAAAAAAAAAAATAGTACTTTAATGCTTGTGATCACATTTTTTTGTTAATATTGAAATGCACTATTGTAGAAGCCATTACAAATCTCATTCTGTTTTAATCACATCTATATTTCCCAAGCTGTTCAGTGTTTCTTCACCAGAAATCTTTATTTCAAGCCTCACATCTACTGCAGAGATGATGGAAAAGATTTTGTAGCCAGCCAGCTAGCTAAGAAAAATGAGAATTTATTGGTTTTATGAATGCCACAGCTTTCCTTCCGTTACCCTCCTAATTAAGCAAGAACTGTTTCTGGGATCTGGAGGACATTTTTGGAACAAAATGAGAATATGTAAGTATACATCCCTCCACATGGGCAGCAGTTCTGGATTTAACCACAGGGGAAAGTTTGCAAGGCTATTCCTGAAATTGAATGTTTAAGCCCAGCACTATCAGCAGCAAGGTGGCCTTATAAGGACCTTCTCTGAAAGGTGTGTTGTTTAAGTTCCTGTTACTCTTTTCCTCTACTTGCTTGGCTCTCAGCCTTGATTTTGGTGCTCTGTCCTCTCCTTGACATAACCTTTCTCTTTTTGCAGTCCTATTTCACGTTTTGGGGTGGGTTTTTTTTTAGACTATTAATTGTTTCAGTCCTGACAAAGCATGAGGCTCCTCCAAGCTACAGTTATTCAAGTTATTCTTGTCCAAAGTGCTTTGAGAAGCAAGACTAGGAAGTAGGAAGATGCATCTGTTCTCTGACCCCATCTCATTGGTTTACTGAAATTTTGGATGTGATCCTGCAGAGTGCTAAAAACCCTTTCTTGTTTTTGCTCTGAGCATCCTCCTGAATTAGGTTATTTGATAGGTAGCTGGACCAAACAATAACTGTATTATGGACGAGAATCAGTCCCAAAACAGATCTTTGACTTTCAGAAAAATACAGGCTTTCCATTTTTTTTATCTACATTAGGATGTAAAACAAATCCTTTTATATTCTCAGAAACAAACAGCTTTTAAATCTAGTGAATTTTTTTAAAGTTTCAAAAAAAAAAAAATTCAGTTTCATTTCTCCTTTTACCTTCACTATGATGTATGATTGGTCTTAATTTGTATTACAGATAATATTATGTCAGAACAGAAATCTATTGGCTTTCTATAAATGCAGCACATTGATAGATTTCCTACAGTTATGGTCAGTGTTCCTGTAAATACTCTGATTCTGCCTAGTCCACATTTTTCAATAAGAAATTGTTCACATAGAAGATTTTAACTGCTTCTATTTATTAGAATATTTTTGAGTGGTAATCTGGATAAGTATTATTTCCTAAAAGGACTATAGGTGAAGCATCTTACCTCGAGGTCCAAACATATAGTCCACAAACGCATTTACTTCATGGTCAAAAGCTCTCAGGTGCTCCTAAAAAATATAAAAAGGATATGTGACAAAGACATTATCTCATGTCTTGCATAGAGAATACAATTTTAAAAACCCAATAAACTATCAAAGAGCATGTCATGCTCAAGTATTTCTCAAGTGCACAACATCATGTCTACTGAAAAAACCCAAACCTCTTTAAAAATTAATCTGGGGCAGATTGTGGTCTAGATAACAATAGAGACCTTGTTACTGGAAACTGCCCAAACCAGAACTCTTTAGGAAGGGAAATTAAGGTTTTACAAATGAAAAAGAACAGATATCACAGCAAACACACCTGTGATGAATGTCCTTTTCACTCTAATAAAAATGCTTTTTTTGTTTGTTTTTGTTACGAATCCTCAACTGATGTGGGTTTTTTTGTTTTTTTTGTAGAGAGGAGCTGGCAATTCCTTTAGTAAGCTTCAAAAAGCTGCCTGGTTGCAACCAGCCTAGTGACAGCGTGTCAACTGAATATCTCGATGCTTTACTCTTAAAGAAGGAAACCTTTGGGGTGAGCCAACTGAGATTTCTCTAAACCAGGCACTGAGTTCCTAAAAAAAGTCTGCAAGAGAACCCAGACCTCTAATAATGAAGTTCAGGCCATGTGGGGAGGGAGGAAGAGGAGGGTTACGTTACAGAGACATGTGTTTTGAGGTCTCAGTCAACGAAGCTGCTAATCTGGCAGGTTTAGAAAGTTTGTGTCTGTTTGTGACCGAGTTGGGAACTGAGCCATGATCAACAAAGTCCTTCCCTCAGATGGACGTGGTGGCCTCTCCAAAATACTTCTTCCCAGACTCCAATTCTGGGCAGCAGCTTCCTGCATGCCGGTTCTTGGACAACTCTTTGCCACAAGCCTGGGGTCAGCCAGGTTCTTCCTCTGCTCCTTCCAACAATGCCCTGCTGTGCTTGATGAATGAATTTCAGCACTGAGCAAATGCAGCCAAGCTGAGGAGAAAGACACAGAGTGAGGCTGAGCATCTCGGCAGGGCAAGAGCTGCCAAGGGTCTCTGTGCACCTTTGAATGCCAGATATTACCACATCAGCCTGGGCTGAGGTCACTGTTAGCAGATCTGCCTGGTGAAGAACCACATTTACACCCTGGGGGTTCCAGCACCAGACTCTGCATTCCCCTGCTGGGGCTGGGTCGTGGTCTGGGCAGGGAGAAGCTCCTGGCACTCCCAAGCCCCTTGTGTTTCTTCTTCTCTTACATTTTTGTCCTCAGGATGTTCAAAGTGGACAGATTTTGTGTGAATATGTGGCAGCAAAAGGTTTTGCAGCATTCTAGGCTGTAAATGTCTCCACAAGATGCTGTTCTGTTCATCTTATCTTAATGAAAAACCCAACAAAACCTCCAAAACTAAAAGTATATATATTTTTGAAAAAAAAAAAAAAAGAGGACTTGCTCTGAAAAATGAGAGAATGAAACTGGTGATTCACGATCCAAAAAGATTTCTCATACTTCTCAGCACTGAGGAAACTAAACTAGCTTTTAAGAAAGAGTCCTGACCACTGTCTCCGGAGAGAGGCATTTTCTCAATTTCAGACAATTTCCTTAGCAGCCTAAGGATGGCTTCTGTTGTAGGAGGTGACTCTGTTTCCAGGTGCCGGACCTGTGTAAAAGATCTGCTTCTGTTTTTACATTCTTGAGCTATGCAGTTTTTCTGCTGTTATTTCATGACAAAGATACTGCCATTTGGGGAATGCCACACTGCTGTTTGTCTGTGATGTGCCTACCTGCTGCATTAATTTGAAACAGAGCTACTCCTGTGCTTGATGGTGTTGAGGTTAGACTTAATAGACTGATTTGGAAAAAATACTTCAGTGGGTTCAAGTGACCTGTGGGAATGAGCATGCAAAACTACTTGTTTTCATGCTTACATTATATAAACAAATCTTACATGTCAAGAACAAAATAATAAACCATGTGTATTCCTTTTATATTAAAATACTGAGACAAATCTACTCTCTTCTGCATTGAAATGGAAATTAGGGACTGAATTCTTCTAACAGTTCAGTGGAGGAATTAGAATTGTAGAATAATTATTAAGGAGAAAGAGCAGAACAAAGACTTAAAAAAAATTATAGAATTTTACAATCATTTAGGCTGGAAAAGATGTTTAAGATCATCAAGTCCAGTCATAAACATAACACTGCCAAGCCTCCCACTAAACTATGCCCCTAAGCACCAGGTCTACACATCTTTCAAATACCAGGGATGGTGACTCAGTCACTTCCTTCGGCAGCCTGTGGCAATACTTGACAACCCTTTTGGTGAAGAAATTTCTCCTAACATCCAATATAAACCTCCCTTGATGCAACTTGAGGACGTTTCCTCTTGTCCTATCTCCTGTTACTTGGGGGAAGAGACCGACCCCCACCTCGCTACAACCTCCTTTCGGGCAGTTGTGGAGAGCAATAAGGACTCCCCTCAGCCTCATTTTCTCCAGGCTAAACGTGCCCAATTCCTTCAGCTGCTCCCCATAAGAACTGTGCTCCAGACCCTTCACCAGCTCCGTTGCCCTTCTCTGGACACGCTCCAGCACCTCAATGTCTTTCTTGTAGTGAGGGGCCCGAACCTGAACCCAGCACTCGAGGTGCGGCCTCACCAGTGCCGAGTCCAGGGGACGATCCCTGCCCTGGTCCTGCTGGCCACACTATTGCTGATACAAGCCAGGATGCCACTGGCCATCTTGGCCACCCGGGCACACGGCCAGCTCATATTCAGCCGGCTGTTGACCACCACCCCCAGGTCCTTTCCCACCAGGCAGATTTCCAGCCGCTCTGCCCCAAACCTGCAGTGCTGCGTGGGGTTGTTGTGACCCAAGTGCAGGACCCGGCACTGGGCCTTGTTAAACCTCTTAAAATCGGCCTCGGCCCATCGATCCAGCCTGTCCAGACCCCTCTGTAGAGCCTTCCTAGCCTCAGGCAGATCAACACTCACACCCAACTTGGTGTCTTCTGCAAAATATACGAAGATTGCTTTTTGCATAGGTTACTGTTTTCATTGATCCAACTTGTGAAAGTTGACCTCTTACACGTGGCTAGGATGAGCAGACAGCATGCTGAGTAGATGAGCCAGTCTAAAGTTAAATCTACCTCCTTATGAATGTACTTAAATGACACAATGGAGACTTCTATCAGCTTCCAATCCTGCTCTGGTCTATCTTAATTAGCACTAGATAAATTCAGTGCCTGGTTTGCTTTCATTGGTAATTTGAGAGTAGAAATTTTTCTAGGAGGTGCAGCAGAAGAAACAAATACACTTCTTAAGAATGCCCCAGCATTTGGCTCCCTGTTAGTTTTTTGCAGTTTATCTTAGTTTACAGGAACAAAAATAGAGATTTACAAGATATAGATTTACAAGGTTGTTAAAGACAATGCATTATATACCTAATGCTAGTACTAATTGCTTGGAAAAAAAATAGTTCTTACTTTAAAAAAGGTAGGTCATTTTGTGTGATTAGTCTTGTCACCTTCATGTCAACACTGCAACAAGAGACCATACTGTATTTCTGGGTTTTAGAACATGTCCTTAATAGTTCCTGTGGGCAGATTAGATGCAATTGTCTTACTCAACATGATCTGTTGTGTTTCTAAAGAAAAGCAAATAAAACCAGCCTGAACAAAACCACATGCTCAGACAACTCACTCCTCTCTACCAAATCACTGTAATACTCTTTATCAATGATGATATTTGAGTTACAAGGCTAAAGATTAACATGTATTTCATGTTTTTCCTTCTGTTGTACAGGACATTGCTCTGGGCATTGGCAATGCTAGCAGTTTGGCAGGATTTCGGACTGACTTGAGGAAGATCTATTTACTTACATCTACGAAAAAGACGTTATCTGAGCAAATAAAATCACCCAAATGGAAAGATGGCGAGAGAGCATAAAACCAATGAGGATAAAGCTACATAGTGATCTCTAATGAATTTCAATATTTTTGCAACAGAAATGGAAAGAAGTGGATGAGTAGCATGGTGTGAATATGTGAATTACTGTTGTCATGCTGATTGCACTTAAAACACTATTTCAAAATCAGCAGGTATGGAAAAACAAGATAACTTCTTATCCTATGCTTATTATATCTTTGCTTAGTGTTAGTCTTCACTGGGAGACCAATGTCTACTGGTTTCCTTATAGCTTTAATAAAAGTAATATAAGCTATGCAAAAATTATATACATGCTATCTAAACAGTGCAGGTATCAAAATACATTTGATTAGTCCAAAATACCTTTGATTTCTCAAAATATCAATGATCTATCATTAGGCATTATCTACTGCCCACCGAAAACACTGCCTCAAGTTATTTAATTTTCTCTTTATATAGCTATATAAACCAGGCTACCTGGATCCAATATGAACATGAAAACTGCTCTCTTTTACAGAAGCAAGTGGATGGATATGTTCCTGCCAGCTAGTGTTCTCAGTGGCAATCTTAAAAATTCTCTCAACTACCACTGTAGGGAATTAATACTGCAGTCTAGAAACAAGAAATTTACAGCCAAAGTAACTTGTTTGATCCTTTGGGAACAGGAATGACTACCAACAGGCTAGGGAGCCCACCGAAAGTCCTAGGTCCTTGTGGCTGCAGTCACAAACCCTTCAGAAGGGGAATTTGCCCACAGGCATGGGGTCTCCATAACCTGTGTTATTCTAAGGATGGATATTCTAAAATTAAAGGGTTCTTCAAATTCAGAGACAGTGATACCAGGCTTTTCTGATCTGGGGTGAGAAAGTCATATTCAAAATGTTCTTCATGTGCATAAAGTACTGTTACAGACAATGACTGTGATTAAAAGACAAATAAAAGGCAATTACTGAATATAGGCACACATGATGAGGTATGTTTGTGAGGCTTTTTGTTTGTTTATGCCGATTTTAAATGGCTTTCTGAAATAAACTTCCTACAGATGAGTAAACTGCATTTAATCTTACTTATGCTATCTGGGAAACTTTTGTATAGGCTTTTTTTTTTTTTTTTTTTCCATGTAAAAGTCTTGAATGTCATTCAGTATCTCAAAAATCCAAGATAATTTGCTGCTTATTCTTACACAGCTATACAGAAATTTTACTTTGTATAAAAAGTGATCTCATTTCAGGCTTCAAACAAAAACCAGAAATGGGTGCCAACCTCTGCTCTCTAATACATGTCCTGGAAGCAAATGTGATATTTGAAAAAACTATGATAGAAAGTACATATATTGACTGTATGGTGATTTTTATTATTTAGATGGCAACTTTTCCTTATTTCCTTGAAGATATTTGCTCCATAAATAGTCAGTGACTGAGCAGTACTGGAATTAAACTGAATTTATCAACATGTTTAAAGAAACTAATTTTAGATGCCTGCATCTATTTAAATATACAAATATTAAGAAGTTTTGGAAAACTGTAGTGTTGGCTCCAGAATGGCTGAAATGGGAGATGAAATAAAGCAAAAGGAAGTCAAAGTTCAAACTCAGGACTGTGGCATAACTGCTTATAAAATAAATTGTTTAGTTTTTTATTATTTGGAGCATTTAAAATTAATCTGGAATAAAGGTGTACAAGGAGGGGACAACTCTTCATCACAGATTGTTTCAGACCACCTTTTAGGTTTTCATCATCTTTATCTTTTATGATTTGTGTGTTATTTCTGTAGGGGAAATATGTGTAGATTATCATGCACAGACAGCAGAGAAAGGTGAAGCTGAAGTCAGAAAGGTGAGCCAGAGGTTGCCATGTATTGTGTCGCTATAACAAGGGAGATATTAAACGAAATTGGGAGACAGGACATCTGGAAGTTGATAATAAACTGTAGCTTTATGTAATCTATAATTAATACATGGAACTCACTGGTAGATAATCTCACTGAGAGTAGGAACAAGCAGGAGTGAGCTCATGAGAGGAGCAGACAGCTCATTATCTTAGATCTTCTTTTTTAGCATTTCAGATTAATC